ACTTCAATTCCCAGAATCCCCCAGTCACTGGGATTTAATAGGGGTGGACTTCAACTCCCAGAATCCCCCAGTCACTGTGATTTAATAGGGGTGGACTTCAATTCCCAGAATCCCCCAGTCACTGTGATTTAATAGGGGTGGACTTCAATTCCCAGAATCCCCCAGTCACTGGGATTTAATAGGGGTGGACTTCAACTCCCAGAATCCCCCAGTCACTGTGATTTAATAGGTGTGGACTTCAACTCCCAGAATCCCCCAGTCATTGTGATTTAATAGGGGTGGACTTCAACTCCCAGAATCCCCCAGTCACTGTGATTTAATAGGGGTGGACTTCAACTCCCAGAATCCCCCAGTCATTGTGATTTAATAGGGGTGGACTTCAACTCCCAGAATCCCCCAGTCACTGTGATTTAATACAGGTGGACTTCAATTCCCAGAATCCCCCAGTCACTGTGATTTAATACAGGTGGACTTCAACTCCCAGAATCCCCCAGTCACTGGGATTTAATAGGGGTGGACCTCAACTCCCAGAATCCCCCAGTCATTGTGATTTAATACGGGTGAACTCCAACTCCCAGAATCCCCCAGTCATTGTGATTTAATAGGGGTGGACTCCAACTCCCAGAATCCCCCAGTCACTGTGATTGAATAGGGGTGGACTTCATCTAAGCTTAGCTGGCCAGGGAATTCTGGGAGTTGAAGTCCTCCAGTCTTAAAATTGCCAAGATTGGAGACCTCTGGATCTAATCTCTGGGAGTCGGGCGCCCCCTGGTGTCGTAATGTGAAAACGCAGCTTCCTATTATTCTCTCTCGTCCCGTAAAGCGAGGGGGAATTGAGGCGACTCGAGCAAGCGAGCCAAGCTGCGCGGGGGGGGGCGGAACTCTGCCGCCTGCCAATCAGACGTTGCTTTGAACCCGGGGATTAAAAAGAAAAATGGGCGAAAGAGAGGGGAGGGTTGGTTTTTTATTTTATTTTTATTTATTTTTCCATGCCCCCCTTTCTCTCTCTCTCTCTCCGTCCAGGTGACTTTGGAGAAATGTTCCATGTGCTCCAAGCCCATCATGGACCGGATCCTGCGGGCCATGGGCAAAGCTTACCACCCACAGTGCTTCATCTGCGTGGTTTGCCACCGCTGCCTGGACGGAATCCCCTTCACGGTGGATGCCACCAGCCAGATCCACTGCATCGAGGATTTCCACCGGTGAGATTCGGGGAACGGGGTGTGGGTGGGTGTGTGGGTGTGTGTGAACCCCTGTTGGATTGCCTCTTAGGCTCCCAAGAGAGATCCTGAGCTCCGAAGGCCGTGCTACCACTCCTTTGCAGTTATACGGAGGCCGTACTGCAAGTCCCATCCTCCCCAGCCAGCGAGCGAGGCAGGAGAAGCGGGGAATCCTTAGGCCCCCCCAGGAAGAAGGCAGGGCCCACGTGTCACTTCCTGATTCCTGCCCCCCCCCCGAAAATCCCCGCCAATGTTCTGTACTACAAGTCCCATCCTCCCCAGCCAGCAAGGCAAGAGGGGTGGGGTTCCTGAGGCCCCCAAATCCCGGGAAGAGAGCCGGACCACCATCATGTCTCTTCCTGATTCCTGAACACCCCCCCACCCCTAGAAAATATGACCCCCCCAATGTTCTGTGTGCACCATACTACAATTCCCATCCTCCCCGGCCAGCAAGGCAGGAGAAGCGGGGATCCTGAGGTGCCCAAATCTCCGGAAGAGGAGAAGGCCAACATGTCTCTTTCTTGATTCTCGCCCCCACTGGAAATCCCCCCCCCCACGTTTGTGTAGGCGCCATACTACAAGCCCCATCCTCCCCTGCCAGCAAGGGAGGAGAAGCGGGGAGGCCCCAAAATCTCCGGAAGAAGGCAGGGCCCGCGTGTCACTCCCTGATTCTCGCCCTCCCCCACCCTGGAAGTTGCCTCCCNTTTATTATTTTATTTATTTATTTATTTTGTTTGTTTATTTTATTTTATTATTTATTTCGTTTCATTTCATTTTATCTATTATTTTGGAGATTTCGATGGCCAGTTCACAAGAATCGCAACCTGGTTTATTGCTGGCTTGTTCAGACTTGGCCCCCTGATGGGACTTTTAAGCCTGGGGGGGGGTGGAGGGACGTGGACTTCAACTCCCAGAATTCCACAGCTGGCTGGGGGAATTCTGGGAATCGAAGTCCACCCAAAGTTAAAACTCGGATTGACCAAATCGTTAGCCGCAATCGATGCCCCCAAAATGAACCAACTATGACCTCCACTGAGTCTACAAGCTGGCTTGTCTCACGGGGAGGCAATCCCAAGCTTGTATGGGGCTAAGCCACGATTTGTGGCTTCTTGGGAACTCAAATGCCAGGAATGGTAGTTTGTGGAATAATCACAGTTTGGGAGTTTTAAAATGTGTGAATCAGTTTTGTGGACTGTTCTGATTGGGGTTTCTTTTCCCAGATGGCGCTTTGGGGGGTGGGGGGTGGGATGCAGGAAAGGGGAGGGGTTTAACGATCCAGGTTTGCAAAACTTTCTTGTGAATAGGCGGGGTAACCGTGTCTGGCCCTTACTGCCTATGATGGGTTCCCACGTGGCCTCCTGGCTCACTGAATCTCTAGGGCGGTGGAGTTGCGGAGAAAAACTGGGTTTTTTTCTGTTAAGGCAGGCAGGATGGCCTGGAATCGTGGTTTGTTTCCTTGCTGTAAATGCTTAGCATGTGAGCATGGCGAGATCTTTGCCCACTCTGCTTTTTAGGAATGCTCCTCATGGTTGGGGAATGGCTTGGCTTGAGGTGAAACATGAACATGTGGTTTGTTCGCAGTTTTATGGCTTATTCTGCCTTCTCTCTCTCTCTCTCTTTCTCTCTCTCTCTCTCTCTTTCCTTCCTTCCTATCTGTCTCTTTCTATCATTGCTCTCTTTCTTTATATATTTCTACCTATCCATCCATTCATCTATCATCTCCCTTTGTCTTTTTATTTATGTTTATAGCTACCTTTCTCTTGCTTCTCTCTCTCTGTCTCCCCAACTATCCATCTGTACATTCATCTATCTATCTATCTATCTATCTATCTATCTATCTATCTATCTATCTATCTATCTATCTATCTATCTATCTATCTATC